AATTATGAAATTCCCTGCAGGAAGATAACACTTCACAATTTCATCTTGAATTCTAACAGCGTTTCACCAATGGGAATCTATGTAGAGCACGGACTGAATTCCTAGAAGTCAAAGCATTGTTATATTCCAACAAACACTAAGTATTTAGAACAAAACAAATATTTTTTTATTCCTTTGTCCTCTGATAGATTTATAAAATATTTTTCCTGGTTCATTTCATAATCTAGTTTATGTGAAATATACTTCTAGAGTAATAGGTGAATTGTAGAAGTTTATCAACAGCAACCTTAAGGATGTATTCTATCTGCACAGAGGACCAGGTTTTTAGAAAGAATGTAATAATGATGCTTTCAGAACATTAACAGGGAAGCCAGCTGACAGAGTGAGAACCAAGGAAAACTTCTTAGAAATTTTGTGTTGCAGTGAAAATACTGCACTAGAGTCTCATTCTAATTAACATATCCTAAGTCTCTTTTGAAAGTCATTGAAGATCAACACGAGTATGGATATTCAAGGCTGATATTGAAGATCAAATTCTTCCTAAAGCGAGGTTGATAACATGAGAGACTTACGTTTGCTTTCCGAGTACACAAACTTTAAATTAGACAAAGTAAGTGTTAGTGCTTGTAAATGAATACGTCAATATTTCAGGAATGAGTCTAAGAGTACACTGACTTAGGGCATGGATTACCATGAAATATCTTTGGACTAATTTTGTTGCTATCACTGGAAAGGCTAGATCAGTATTCTAGATATCTCCTGTATGCTATTGCTATGATTTAGTTCAATTCACACATAATTATTAAGAGTAGTTACATGGCTTTCCCCTCCTCCGATGGTGCAAATATTAGAAAATGCACAAGAAAAATCTACATACTTGACCCTCGTATTTGCAAAGTCCGACTGTGAAATCCTATGTTACTTTCACTCATGAGATCTCCTGTGTACCATACACGATTAAAGATTAAAAAAAAAGGAAACCACAAGATTTGGCTATGAATTTGCTTCTGTCATCATCCTTAATGTTTTTTCCTTCTTTCTTTGGAATTGAAGACAAACCATTTAACCACACCCACCCTCAGCACGGCCCGATGATTTTGTAAACCTTTTTCAGATTCTACATAAGCCATTTCATAATTTGTCATATACACTGTGAACTTCTTCAGGTTGATCTATATCCCTTTTTAATTTGTTCATAGTCAGCTCTTATTCTCACCATCCTTCAAAACTCAGTATCATCAGCAGACTTTCTTTAGTTTCCTAAGCTTCTACTTTTACTTGTTTGTCAGTTATGAACAGAATAGCAAGCATTATAACACTCCTCAGAAACCTACTCATTTTAGTAGTAGTAGCAGAAATTGAAGCTTAACAGAGTTCAACAGATCAGAAGTTTCTGAAAAGTGAAAGAAAAACGGAAAGGAAAATAAAATGTTAACATCAGAAGGATGATACAGAAAGCACTTAATTGTAGAAGTTTATATCTGAAATAACTTTTACTCTAGAAATATTCTATAAAAGTCCTGGTACATACAAGCATGCCTTACAGTCCTGAGAACTCTAGTAAAGCGCAGTTTGTCAAAATGATTTAGTGCATCGTTGTGAAAGAGAAAGATTTTATAAGAAAAACCCCTAGAAGATCATTGTGTGAAGAAATATAACTTGAACTGTATCACGAAGTTTTTTGTCTCCTGTTTAGCTTTACTGATCTGAATTTAAGAAAAAGGAAAATGAAGTTAACACAAAAGAGAACATATTACTGAAGCCTAATTGACATCCAGCGTGAGGCATTCTGTCCCCAGACTGCACCATTTAGTGAAACCATAACTCACGTAGTTCACAGTCCCATACAAAATCCAGTTCCTCTTGGGAACGCGTTCCCAGGAAGTAATGGCTACAGCATTCTAAATTTGGCACAAAGCTACGATCACATGCTGAGATCTTGTGAAACAAAGAACATGACAAAGGCACCAAGTAAAGCAGGTGTGGGCCTTTCTATTCGTGCTAGTTAAAGCTAACATCGGTAATAACCAGAGGGTCCTATTTCTAGCTATCCTCCCACTTTGCCCCTTACATTAAGCTGCTCTGAAACACAAAATGCGTGGCTCAAGGACACAAAAGACGTTAGAAGCAAAGAGCTCATGGAAACCACTCAGCAACAGAACTATGTAATCAACAAGCTAACAAAAGAGATGGCAGACTGATGCTGCGTATCAGACTTCATCCCAGCTCACACTACCCATGTTAGGTCTAGTGAATGATCTGTGACCTTGGCATTTCTGTCACTAATATTTCCTTAAATTCTTATCATTCTTATTTCCTTCTCCTCCCACCAAAAAACTGTCCATCACAATACTTCCTCTCTTTTCTTAGAACCATAGATTCATTTAGGATTGCAAAAACATGAAGACCATCAAGTCCAACTATCCCTCTAACACTATCAAGTTGGCCTTTAAGTCACATCACTTATCAGCATCCACATGCATCTTAAATACCTGCAGGGGGGATAGTGCCTCTACCTCTTCTCTGAGCAGACCATTCCAAAGCGTAACCACACTATAGATGAAGGAATTATTTCTAATATCCAATCTAAGCCAGCTCTGGTGTAACTTGAAGACCTCATGTCATATCTTAATACTTGTCACTTGAGAAAAGACTGACACCTACCTCTGTCAACCTCCTTTCTGGTAGTTGAAGGGAGTGCTGAGGTCTCCTTTCAAACTCCTTTTTTCCAGACTAAAACAGCCTCACTTCCCTCAGACACTCCTCAAAAGTCACATTTTCAAGTCCCTTCATCACCTTAATTGTTCTTCTCTAAATATATTCCAACAATTCAAATAGCAAGAGTCCGCAACCAAACAAGTTATTGAGGTGTCATCCCTCACTGACACTGAGGGACAATCACATCCCTAGTCTTTTTAGACACAGTTTTCTCATACAACATCATCTTTATATACTCCCTTGTTACCTGCCCTCCATTTTTCCCCCCCCTACCTCCCCCACTGCCCCCCCCCCCCCCCCTTCCTCTAAACTTATCCTATACTCCATTGAATGATTAAAAACTAAACTATAACAAACATGAAAATCACCAGGACTAACCAAACTAGCAGCCAGTCAGTTGTTCACTTCCCCATTTCTTCACTTCTGTCAGTGTTGAAACAATAATTTGAAATCACTCTTGAAAACCAAGTTACTTAGATTACAAAGGAGTTCCCAAAACATTTCCTTAAGTTTTTGGAACCATATTCAATAAATATTTGAAAACATTTTTAAACAGCTGAGGATTCACAAACAACCAGATACAGGGCAGTGGATTTGACAGGTAAAAATAAAAAACAGGAAAACTCTAAAATACAGATGTTTCTAACATGATCATGTTTTCTGTGGATCTAAAAAAAAAAACTAACTCTGCAGAACACAGGAGGGAATCTAAATAAAAAAGAACTACTGAGCAGAATACATTTTTCCTGTACACTAGAAGAAATTAAAATGCATATTCAGTATTTGAAAGAGTCGCATTCAACATCTAATCAAGGCATTATAGGAAAAAACTGTTCAGTGTTTGATGCAAGTTTATCTTCCATACTACAAACACACTAATAAAAAACTGATGAAAATTACAATAAGAGCAGTGAAAAACTAATTTCTGATCATCTACAGGCAAAAATCTACAATTCACTAAGACAAAATCCTCTGTGATGTCATTGTGAGTTTCAACATATAACCGAAGGACCTCTTTCACTTCGCAAGTCAATATTCTATCTCCATTCATCATGAAAGTTTCTGAAAGGGATAATCTTCAAACTGTTAAACAAAACTCTCACAATGTTTAAGAGCCACTATGAATTATTCAGCAAGTAAATGCGTAATTTCAACAGTTGTATCTTCTAATATATTACTGTGCTTAGTATATATATATATATATATACACACACACACACACACACACACACACACACAGACACACACACTACAATATATATTATGTTAATCAAGTACATAGAACATTTGCTTACACATTTTATTTTCCCATCATGGAATATTAAAAACTTTTCTGGCCAGGTTACTTCTTTGAACAAGACTTCTTACCCAACTTCTCTTATCTTGAACTCAATACTCAAAATTTATCTCTGAGGAAACATTCTTCCTGTCACGGAAATCAACCTGGTATGAAGACCTGAACCCCTCCCCCCCCCCCCGCAGTGTCAATGTTAGAGACAAATGCATCATCTAGACTACTTAAAATGAAGTCTTCAGAAAAAAAACCATAATTTTACCCTTCAGTAGACTCATTAAAGCTGGCAGCATTGAAAAGCATTATTTTCCAAAAGCTACTTGTTTGTTTTAATGCACACTACAAATCTGCAAATGCATTTAATCGAGATCAATATAGGCAGAGTTCCAGAAACCTTCCAAGTGTGGGCTAAGTACGTACAGCACAGCAACTGCAATTGTTGATGCCTTCAGTATGATAAGCCTCTTGATCTAAAATCCATCTCTCAGCATTCCATAGATGAAAACATCCAAACTTGCGTGCTTTGGTAAATATACAAGTGATATTGACCATCCAAATTCAAAGTGAGCAAGATGCATTTAGGCACAAATAACCTGTCAGTTTACCTACTCATCAACTTCAACATTAATTGTAAGCACAGAAACCTGTAGACATACCAAACCCCTCTGCAGTTTCAAACTACTTTCTTCCTATCAGAGGTTAATACATGTTGGACTTCGGGACAGTAAAGACATTTAGGCGAATGCAGTCAATTGCACACCTCTAAGATACTGCCAGTGATGGATTCTGAAGAAACACTTTGCTTATTCAGGTTTGAAAAGGTCATCACAGCACAAAGTATAAATGAAAAGAAAAATCATACAATGTCTCCGGAGTGAAATAACTTTCTGAGTCGTCTAGTTGCCATGCTTTCAATGCATCTCCTACAGAACTGCTTGAAAACACGTAACCAATAGCTATATTTCGGATACTAATCAGCTCCACTTACCTTTGAAGAAGCAATCTTCATTGTGTACAATGGTGACCTTCTGCTTCTTCAGGCAGGCAGCCCTGTGTACCTCACAGTGGTTTTCATAGAACTCTCCATCCGAGCCACACACGGGTTTGTAGTGTGGCTTGCAGTGTTCCATGCAGACACACTCAGCCTGCCTGCTCTCCCCATTCACGACACAGTGCCTACCCAGGCCACAGTACTTGTTTTCACACGACTTAAAATGTCCATCTTGGCCCGTGTATCCTGTAAAAACATGAATAAATAAATGTGGTGGACTGTCACAGAGCATACAAAGCATCTGACAAAATAAAATACGTGTTTTGCCAACAGGCTTTTTTTTTTTTTTTTTAATGCACTCTAAGGCTCCTATGAATATTTACAAGACTTTGCAATAAGGACTACCTTAATTTAATGAGGCAGAGAAAAACAGTGAAAGAAAGTACATATATTAATACTACAATACATACAAAAAAATTTACTCTAAGTATCACAGCAGACAACATTGTTTTATTAAACAGACTTAATTCTATCTACTCAGTTCTTTCCGAATCTTTTTAAAAGCAAGCAGACATATCCTGAAATTAAAAAAAATACTGGTGAGACTCAGCATGTACACAGATGAGCGTAAGCTATTAAAAACAACAAACAAAAAATTGGAAAAACATACTAAAGGAACAAAAGCATGTAGATTCATAAACTCAAGAAGAAAAGCACACCTCTAGAACATGAGCCAAGGAACAGCAGAAATGAGCAGAACTGAAATAAGGGATTACAATTAAATAGAAGTATATCCAAAGCTCTCTTCCTACCGTGGAGGATTCCTATGTGAGAAGGTTTATTTACATATAAAAGCAATATGAATGTAGGCAACTAGGAAGCATGAACATGACTGGAGAGCCAAAGATACAATCAAGTAACACTAAGTAACACGAGAAGAAATACTGACATTAGTGAAGCAAAGAAACTGCTTTTAAGTATACTGTGAAGTCTGCTTGTAGTAATTTTGCATTTTGGTACAATTTTTTTCAAGAAGCTGATGATCATCTACAATATGGAATCATATTTTGGATTTCTGAAGTGAGAGCTTCCAGTTAGAAATAGATTTGAGAAACAAGCCATTTTCCAGTAACTGCTGACCTGGTCAAGATTACCTCCCAGTACATTAAATACACAGATCCTTTGTAGTTTCGAGATAGTAATTACATTTTGTTTAATTTTATGCTTTATCCAAAAAGCTATTTATGTTACGTAAATGGAAATGAAAGCTTTTTTTTTTAAACCACTTCCTGACTAGACTTAGCACAGGTCAGCCTAAAGTAAATTTAATTTCTTTATCGTGACTAGGTGTACTCCTAGTCATTTTCACTTTCAATTAACCATAATCAACTACAACATACAGTAACAAGATCAAGTTTATCCATCATAAAGAGTGTTTTCTTAGTAAATCATCTTTTTAAACTTAAAATTGAATCGTCACCGTCAGCTTATTGTGTTATTGTATGTAACATAAGGATGCATTCTCCAGAGTTTAAAATAAACACAGAAGTTGATGTGTAACAATAACAAGAGCTGGGTAAAGATTCCCAGGAACCCAGGGAAGATAGAAACAAAAGAAACATCAAAAACAACACTTCTGTGGTGGCAAGATGACACTTCAAGGAACAGAGCACAGTGGGACAGCAAGACCAACATATGACGTGGATGGCTTCTCTAAGGAGTCAAAAGAGTCTCAACGAAACTAATTGTATTTGGGTAACAACCAGAGCTTAAGAGGGCTGAAGCAGAGGCAGAGCAGTTCTGCAGGCCATCAGCCCTAAACTTCCTCTGCTCATGCAACATGAAAATGGGTTGTCCACATTAGTTTCCTAAAGACAGCTTTCTACTACCTATCATTTATGTGCTGGCGCCATCACATAAAATAGGTGGTATGGCCAGCAGTAGCTCTGTAGGAAAAACAGGAGAAGGCAATTGCATAGAAATACATCCCTAGTATAGCTTCTGCTGCCACAGAATGGCACAGGCAATTATTTGCACAGGAAAAGTACAGTGAAAAACAACCAAAATTTCCACTCACAATTACTAACGCTTCAATTATATCAGAGGTCTGAGACCATAACTGTATCATCAGATAAGTATAAAATCCTAAAATATCACCAGAAGTGGGAAAAAATACAGCCCTTCACAGTTACTTTTTATTCTCTTAGTGTACACGCCCAACCTCTGAAGCAAACAAGAACGTGATCTCCAAATGACATATCCTCTTCCTACTCTCACTCTTTGCAATACCTTCCTCATTATCACAGTCAAGCTACATTGCCATAGAAAAATTAGGAATAAATATACACCAATGCATAATTTGATAGTCTTAGATTATTTCCTACTTGAAAGAACTAGTGAGTAAAAACACTAGCTTGGCACACATTCATCCTAACCAGTAATAATCCACATTCTTCATTTCCATGGCAGAAATCACTTCTCACAAGTTCTTCTCACAACTGCAGGATTATTAGACCTAAGACAAATGAACTTAGACTCCTTGCTCTTCCATACAGCACAAATCCCATCAATTTTTGAAGACAAATCTACTACAAAAGCACGTAACCATGAAATATGACAAATTCTTCTGCTCTATTATTTTAAAGCATTCTGAACACAAAGCTGAGACAACTGCTAGATTGATTTTAGTGCACATGGATGAAACAGGCATACTCAGCAATATCAGCCTGGTCTGAACTTTCAGAAGCACCAAACATATTTGAAATTTGTAAATTTAGAGAAAAGTAAAAAATTTCCAGTGAGCTTTCAAACATGTTTATCCCTGTGCCAATACGTCACTATTTAAAGGCAACAGAGATTAACTGACTAATACTAACGCAGATACAATTTTCTTCCATCTACTGATCATGTCTGCCAACAGTTTACGTGCTGATTCGACCCAATTCCATGACATGCGGGGTGGAGGGCCTGCAGATCTGTGCCTTGAAAAGGAATAAGGGAAAAAGTGTAGAGAGATGGGCCCCCCTCAAAAAACAGTGGCAATGATCTGAGGAGAAACAAAATAATTGACTAAACAAGATATCAGAACGCAAGATAACACAATGCAAAATAACACAATATAATTCGAATTGAAGCTAAAAAAATCAAATTAAATGAGAGAGTGTGTCCAACAACTGAAGACTTTACTCTAATGCTGAGGTGAGATGTGAAGTCGGGATGAGCAGAAGGGAGGAGAGCCCAGCCTCATGACCTTGCCAGGGACTTCATCTTCCCTCTGAACACAAAGTCCTCTGCGGTATGTAGTTGATCTTCTCTTCTGGGACATATACCCAGAACTGAAGCATTAACACCTTAACTCCTACTGACTACATTATGATGTGGAACATGGATTACCAAAAATTATAAAACCCTGACAATGTCCAATGAAATTTTGTCTTGCAAAGTCCAAGAGTACTTCACAGCACTGGGCACGTACACGCATTGCACAATTAATGGACTTCTTTGGAGCAATGGAATTGCAGCAGTTTGAGAACAAAGTTCATAACTTCTGAATCGGTAGATAGAGATCTCAAAATGACAGCTGTTCTGAATTATTAAGGTACGTGGTGACTAAACAACATACAGTACTATACACTGCTGTGGAAGTAGAAACTGATTCAAGATTTCACTTGGGGGCTTCATTTTAGCACTATAATTGAATACGATACCTGAATGCAAAACTACTACTTTCAGTTGAGAGAAAACTGCTTCCATTATATTGATACTTACACTGGCATTTCTATGTGTCAGCATATACCTCTTACATACATCAATAAACAAGCAAGCTTTTTGCTCTAAGAAAAATCTGTATTAATTTGTTAAGAAATATTTCATAAATGCCTCCACTTTATACCATTAACTAATCCAAAACAATACATATATTTGCATATATAAAATTCTAACCAACTTCAAACTTGTCTGACTTTGACAAGCCCCATCTGGAGTACGGCGTGAAGGCCTGGAGCCCCCAGCACAAGAAAGATGTGGAGTCATAGGAGCAGGTCCAGAGGAGGGCCACAAATATTATTGGAGGTGTAGTGCACATCTCCTACGAAGAAAGATTGGGGAGCAGGGCTTGTTCAGCCCAGAGAGACCCCACTGAGGTACTAAAATACTTAAAGGAAGCTTATAAACAGGAGGAATAGCAACTTCATGTGTAGTCTTAAGGGAATAGGACGAGGCTGAATGGTTGTAAACTAAAAGAGGCGAGATTTAAATTTGATGTTAAGAGGAAATTCTTTACTCAGATGACAATGAAGACCTGGTGCAGGCTGCCCAGATCACTGGAGACACTCAAAGGCCAGGCTGAATGGGACCCTGGGCAGCCTGAGCCGGTAGGTAGCAACTGTGCAGACAGAATCATAGAATTGCTCAAGTTGGAAAAGACCTTAAAGATCATCAAGTCCAGCCACAACCTATATATATATGTAGGTTATAAATACATATATATATAATATATGTATATATATACACTACCCTAACAACCCTCTACTAAATCATGTCCCTGAGCACCACATCCAAACAGTTCTTTAACACATCCAGGGATGGTGACTCAACCACCTCCCCCGGGCAGCGTGTTTCAGTGCTTCACAACCCTTTCTGTAAAGAAGCGTTTCCTCATATCCAACCTAAACCTCCTCTGGCACAACTTGAGGCCATTCCCCTCGTCCTGTCACCTGTCACCAGTGAGAAGAGACCAACCCCTCTCTCACTGTAAGCACCTTTCAGGTATTGGAAGAGGGCAGTAAGGTCTCCCCTCAGCCTCCTTTTCCCCAGACTGAACAGCCCCGGTTCTCCTCACAGGCCATATTCTCCAAGCCCTTCCCCAGCCCTGTTGCCCTTCTCTGGACCTGCTCCAGCACCTCCATGTCCTTTCTGTACTCAGGTGCCCAAAACTGAACACAGCACTCGAGGTGAGGCCTCACCAGTGCTGAGTACAGGGCAGGATGACTTCCCTGGTCCTGCTCACCACTCCATTCCTGATCCAAGCCAGGATGCCACTGGCCTTCTTGGCAACCTGGGCACACTGCTAGTCATGGTAGAGGGCTGGAACAGGGTAGGTCAAAAGGTCCCATTCCAACCTAAGCCACCCTATGATGGCTTATTTTCTCTAGTCTTTCTTGTAAAGAAACCGTTTACAAGAAATATCCAACAACAACAACAACAACAACAACAACAACAACAACAACAAAAAACCAAAAAAAAACCACCCCTTTTCAAGGACTGTCCTTCCATCTGAGCATTTAGAATTAGACAGTAAATTATTTTTAAGAATAATCTAGGTTCTTGTATTTGGACATACAATTTAGATGAGAAGATAAGCAGCTCAGCATATTCAGTGTTAAGAGACAGTATAAGTAAATCAAATGAATAAATGATCTGCCCAGAAACACTAATTCTTTTTAGCCTACTTAATTGGTATTGCTTATATGACAATAGAAGAGTCCAAATTTGATAAACAGCAATTCCTATGGATACAGGAAAATGCGTACCCATACAGTAAACTCAGCATACTCTGCATTTTCACCTCAAAGAGCATAATATACATGAATTCTTAAAGGGTCTACAGCATATTGAAAAACAAGATGTCCCTCGTTCAACTTGAAAGCTCAAATTCTTTAAGTCAGGAAATATTATCACAGCTCTAAGTTTGAAAGCCATATACAAATATTTAAGCCTATGGCAGCAAGTTTTCTTGATTAAATGCTAAACAGACAAAATGGAAGAGCAAAGAAATGATTTTTTTTTTTTAATAAGCATAGAAAGAAAAATATTTTGGGCTTTTCTTTTAAGGCAAATCATAATAAATAGTTCAAAGCCGTCACTTTGGCTTCCTCATACTTATCTCCTAGCTGAAGGAGCAGCACCCAAAGCTGAGTGAATTTCGGGCCACATTTGCTGTGCTTCAACTTCAGAATTAAGTATATGCTTTAATATGCAAAAAAACTCTCAAGAACACCCAGTTTCTCTTCTAACTAATCAGTTTAGGGAAAATTTGGACTTGGAAAATTTGGAAAGTCATGTGTATGTGTGAATCACTACAATCTCTAGTTGGCTGAGGTCAGAACGCTTTTTGTATTATGAATCCTCACCCCCAAACACAGACTTCTGCCTTTTGTAACAGCAGAGTCTACATTCAAGTCTCCCACCATAACTTCCAGAATTCCCTACGCAACATTTAAAACAAAATGACAACTATTTCTGGATTCCAATTCAATGTACTGCTTTTTTTCTAGTGTCAGCAGTCCATCTGTCTGGCACCCAGCTTTTTTATTTAAAAGGATCCCACTGACGACATTTCCAACTCTACTGTTATATTTTGTTCGATATATTAACTACAAAAATCAACGCTAGGATTACCATCTTGGTAAATACTCAGTATACTGTTAAGTTTTGCATGAAACTGAAATATCTTGGAAGAGATGGAGACAGAAAAATGTAAAACAAACTCATCACCACCTACCGTTAACAATGTAGGTCATCAACATTGAGCATATATATATATATATATATGCTATATCTACAAAAAAAACCTCTAGACAACATCAGCAAAAAAAAAAAATAATAATAATAAAAAGGATAATTTTATTATCTGTTACAACATAACAAACAGAAACACTGTTTTAACAACAGTTTTGGCAACAATTATCTGCATTCCAAACTCTGACTTAGCCAAGCTTTTGGTCACACCGTTAACAATTCGTATTTCTCACATTCTTCTGAATAGATGAGCTCTGAAATACAGTCACCTTGAGGTGAGCGTGCAGAGATATCTCACTTATGGTCACATTCACGGATTTGCTTGCAAATTTATCTTAAACTAATATGTGTCTTGTATAAATTATGCACAGACACAAAAGCATTTCTTCCAAATGCTTGAGGTAACAAAAACATAGTTTTATTTTCCATGTTTATTAGCCTTTTATATTGCAACTGACTTAACAGTGACAGGGCAACTTCAATTCAAATAGTCTTTCACACCACTAACTACTCATTAAAAAGGACTACATAAAATAAGTAGTAAATATACCCCTAGAAATTCCAAAAATCCCCTTGAAATCCAAGATCTTACAGCCCAAGATCGAGTCTTGAAAATAATTCATTATTTTCAGTCAAGGTAAGATTAAATTCAGAAGTCTCTCTTGCGTTTCTACTTATAAAGGATTTTTTGTTTGTTTGTTTCTAAAATTTTATTTTATCTAGATGCTTATGTTTAATTACATGAAGAAAAATAAGAACTCAACTGTGCAATACGCTCTCAAGTTCTTCATCTATGTGTAGCAAACAAGTCAGTAGGACACAGAATGAGGAGGAATTACAAGAAGTAATTGTAGCTGAGAAAAATTACTAAATAATACCTTATTTCTTACACCAGAGTAGTAAAGTTGAGAGTAAAGTAACAGTGTACAATTGCCCAGTCCAAAGCTCATTCTTCTTAACAGACACAAAGAACAACTTGCTTTTCTAAATAAATTTGGTAGGAAAGAAAGGAATAAGATTTGCCATGTCATTGATATAGAAAGGAGGGGGAAAAAAAAGATAATGGAAGACTAAATAATCTAAAAATTATGCTCTTTCACTATAAAGCAA